CAATGTTCCTATTACCACAGGGACCACTTGTGCCTTCACCTTCCACATCTTTTCTAGCTCTTCTTTCAGCCCTTGGTATTTCTCGAGCTTCTCGTGTTCCTTCTTCCTGATGTTGCTGTCACTTGGGATTGGGATTTACATCTATCACTACGGCCTTCTTCTTCTGTTTGTCCACCACTACTATGTCTGGTTGGTTGGCCATTACCAGTTTGTCAGTGTGTATCTGGAAGTCCCACAGGATCTTAGCTTGGTCATTCTCAGCCACCTTTGGAGGTGTATCCCATTTGGACTTTGGGACTTCCAGCCTGTACTTGGCACAGATGTTTCTGTACACTATGCCAGCCACTTGGTTATGGCGTTCCATGTATGCCCTGCCTGCTAGCATCTTGTTATGTGCTGGATTGTCTCAGGGGCATCTTTGTGTGTGTATACATACATAGATATTACATATTTTTATTTAATTGACATTACTTTGTAGAAACCTGTTTTCACTTTGACATTAAAGAGGGTTTTTTCATACATTTTTTTTTTTTGTCAAAAAAGCCAAATTATATTGACAATGATTGACTTATAAAATCAATAAAAAGGTAAAACATCCAAGGGGGTTAATACTTTATATAGGCACTATAGACAGATATGCAGCTGGTAGGCACATTCATGTCTCTGGTTTCCCTGCTCACTGAGCACAGTCAGTCCACAGTCACAGTGAGTCTGGATTGTCTCAGGGGCATCTTTGTGTGTGTATACATACATAGTATGCAGCTGGTAGGCACATTCATGTCTCTGGTTTCCCTGCTCACTGAGCACAGTCAGTCCACAGTCACAGTGAGTAGTTTAGTGTTCTTGTGCAGCGTGTTGATACTCTGACTTAACACTGAGTTAAACTGTAGTCAATGAAGAGGTTGTAGCAAGATCAAAACATTTACTGTCCATTCTTCATATAACATCACGGTAAAAACTGCAAATAAACAATACAATAAACACTGTGTCAGTTATGCTTATTTAACCAATATCTATACTATAAATGGTGGTACACTTCAACACACATTCAAATGCATAGTATCAGCTAGCTTATGCACAACTGTAAATAAATTTCCTCAACGTCACATCTAACTCTTTTTAACACAATCATAGCAAATGTTAACTATACTATGTCAACTGACACATATCATAACTTACGGCATTGCTTCTATCACGTTTCCTAGCAGATGAAGATGAATACACGTGCCGCAAACAAGAGCCTTACGTCCACCATCTTTCTTACTAACGGGAAATCGCTAAAACCGGAAGTGACGTCATCACTCGGCGCCAATTGGTAAATAGGTTTAGCATTATCATTTCTTTTTACATATGTCATTAAAAACCTGGCCCTTCACCAAAAATAGATAACAACAACTTCAACAAACAATTAGCTAAATAAATAAATGCCTTAGAGGCAACACAAGTAGGATCAATATTTATTAACTGCAAAATATTGTCAGTCCTGTTAGAGTATCTGTGTCTGTGTTTTTGTCGGACTAATGTGAACGTACTGCCACTTTGTCGTCATACTCCGTCACACTGTCTGCTGCACTGGTTCTGTTATGCACTGATATCATGAGACGGCTTTGGACTTGACAAGAAATATCATCACGCTTTAATATTGTGAGATCTCATGGCACGAGATCCTATCACACCCCTAATGTTTGAGTGTTGCTAGTTCTCTGAAAGTTATTTCCAGAAGGCCATACTTTTAAACAATCATGCAAGCAAGAACTCTTGATGCTGAAGTAATGTAACACACTATAGTTCAAATTAGTAATGGGTGTTAATCAGTTATCTTCAACTACTGCATTATACAAGGTGGGCCCTGGGAATAGTAGCCCGCCTCCTGTTAATAGAATGAAAGAGCAAGTGGATTGTTTTGGAGGCGGGCTACTTTTCCGTGGCCCACCCTGTAGCTCTAAGATCGTGAATGGGTCTCCAGCCATGTGGTTCCTTTACAGACAAAATATGGGTGTTACTGCTTAAAATACGTCACTCAACAAAGGCACCTTTGTCAGATTAGTTGTCAGGCGATAGAGTACATGAGTACTCATGTCTATGCTCTCTATGTATTTTTAAAAGGGCTTAGTAAAAGGCATCAAACTAAAAAACAGAATTTGGCAACACTGTGACTGATTAATACCACTACAGGTACAGTCTGTGTGTTTTGCCATTTGGGTTAGAAGGAGTTGAGCTTAATGTTCAAACCTAACAGTGCTGCAGAATTCTGTCATCAGCGACCAGACAACATGAAATATATTAGCAGCTGTTAATAATATTTTACAGAATTACTTTTTGTATGTGGGTTTTAGTCCCTGCAGGTTTGCTGGCAAGAACAGGATCCTGTTTGATTAGTTTAAATATCACTAATCTAATTGCTTTTGCTCAGAAACTCAAATTCTTTGTTTTCTTCAGTGCCTTTGGTCCAGCAGCAGAAAATTGAACAGCTTCTCTAATCTTTCAGCTTTTAATATCAACTAACACATGTTTCAAGTTTTGGTATTACAGCTTCCCTCTCCACAGTAAATCAAGGCATTAAAATAATAAAACATCAAGACAGGACAACTCACACCACATCATATTATTCCCAGAACCCCACCCACACCAATCCTCCCCTCCAGCTCTGTCAGGCAACAACAGTACAACGTAGTGTGTAATTCACAGCACTTTAACAATGTTCACACAGTACAAGAAATCAGGAGAAAACTCAGTTTGAAAACATTACACAGTAATTGTGGCATTTGCAAAGGTGAAGACACTTGCGGTTCTGCCTGTTATTGACACAACTACTGCAAAGTACTGCAGCCTGATGGACAAAATGTTTTGTGTTCAGAACTTCCCTCAGGACAACCACAAGATCCGTCTGTCTGGGAATGGCTTTCTGTGTGCGTTTGAGATCCCGATGCCAGGCTCACCAACTTCACTGAGTTCTCCCACGCTGACAGGTGAGCTCGGCTGCTTGGACTATGTCTCACTACACATCTGTGTGAGAATCCGCACTCACCTACAGTGTTGTCTCATCACTTTATACCTCTGTATCCTCCACATAATTAGACATCACAGTGGCCACCGGCTCAGCTGCTAATGGACATCTGGGCAATATGCCTATCCTCATCCCTAATGGTGGGCCCAGCACCATGCTGCCCAGCAGTCTAGAGGTGCCAGTGGCCAATGGGGTTGCCAACGGACACCTCACACCCATGCAGGAAAGCCCCTTCATTGGATACATCATTGCAATGCACAGAAAGATGGTGAGAATAGTACAATGTGTTAACAGTTACTGTCCATAGGTGATTGAATGGAAAATTTAAACCTCTTAATGTGGCTTGCATGTGTCTGTGACTCGTTTCAGATGCGTACAGAGCTGTACTTCCTTTCATCTCAGAAGAATCGACCCAGTCTGTTTGGAATGCCCCTTATAGTTCCCTGTACTGTCCACACTAGTAAAAAAGACCTGCATGATGCAGTTTGGATCCAGGTGTCCCGGCTGGCCAGCCCTCTGCCCCCACAGGAAGCCAGCAACCATGCCCAGGACTGGTAGGCTGACAGTCATCTGCTTTCAGCTAACATTTGTTACCTCCACCAAGGGCAGGGGTTATGCTTTTGCTGGCTTTTGTTGGTTTGTTTGTTAACAGCACAACTCAAAAAGTAATGAATGGATTTTGATGAAATTTCTTGGAGAAGTAGAGTATGGCCCACGGAACAATTGATTACATTTTGCTGATGAATCATATCAGAGTTTGGATACAGGATTATTTTAAAAGATTATTCACCATTGTGAGTGATGGAAAGGGTATTAACTGTATGTGAGCCCCCTTGTGGCTAAAGTGCACAGCTGCGCTGCTGAGCACATACCGAGACAAATCCCTTGGTTAGTGACAGCTGCCCATTCATTGTCAATGGAAACTGAGTGTTGTCACTTAGTCCACCCTGCTGTGTGAGACAGGGACTGAAGGAGCCCAGTGAGGCAACAGCCCACAGCTGGTCAAAGGACTGCTAGTGTGACAGCTGGACGAGAGCCTGATGGCAGAGAGTTAGAGCCAGGCTCAAAACTGTAGGACTGGTATTATGCCGTTTTATTGGTTTTGACATGTTTTTTCCCCCAGATGACAAAGTAACCGCTTAGACTGAGAATATGTGGTCAGTCTAATACCACTTGGGGTGGCTGTGGCTCAAGAGGTAGAGTGGATTGTTTCCTAAGCTGAAGATTAGCAGTTCGATTCCCGGCTTGCCCAGTCAACACGTCAAAGTGTCCTAGATCAAGACACTGAACATCCAGTTGCTCCTGGTGATGTCACCGGTCCATGAATGTGTGAGAGCATGGGAGTGGGAGTGAATGGCCGAATAGTGTGAAAGTTTTTTGAGTGTGCTGCAATGCAGATTGAGAATCTCAATGGATCTTGCCTGGTTAAATTAAATATATACACATACAATACAGAATTGAATTGAACAGAATACAACCCTATTTTCCATCAGTGTGTATAATTATCTTTAGCTCTAACATAAAAGCAGTTTAAATGGATTTAACATTTAAAACAAGTAACATAACAAAAAGTGATAACACAAGGGTGATAACATACTGTAGGCCTAGTGATAACAAGAAACTGCTGAAAGTAAAAAATAAAAAAAATTTCTCAGTTCATGTATTGTTATTGGATGGATGAGAAACTCAAAGACAACTTTGCTGATCTTAGATCTGAAATAGCAAACAAGATAGACACACTCAAAATGCTCCCACAACGAGTAATTGAACTCACAGGGATGTATAGTCATGGCCAAAAATATTGGCAGTCCTGCATTTCTGTCAGATAACACACTACTTCTCCTCTCACAGTTTTTTTGTTATTCTCATGTTTATTTTTTTTATTTGCATTGGAACAACACAAAAAGTAGAGAAAAAAGACAAATCTGTTACATTACACACAGATCTTCAAAAATGAACTGGACAGAATTGTTAACATTCTCAACTTAATATTTGGTAGCACACCCTCAGTTTGCTTTTCTCAGTCACTTCCTGTAACCATCAGTGAGTTTCTTTCACCTCTCTACTGGAATTTTGGACCACTCTTCTTTTGCCATCTGCTCCAGGTGTCTCAGATTTGAAGCGTTCCTTCTCCCAACTGCTGTTTTGAGATCCCTCCACAGCTGCTCTATGGGATTTAGATCTGAACTCATTGCTGGCAGCTTCAGAACTCTCCAGCACATTGTCTGAAACCATTTCTGATGCTTTTTGAAGTTTGCTTTGGGTCATTGTCCTGCTGTAAGACCCATGACCTCTGATGGAGACCCAACTTTCTGACACTGGGCCCTACACTTTATATTGCCAGCACCTGTTGGTTGCTACAGGTGAGTTTCATTATAAATTAAAGGAGCATCACATGCTTGACATACAACTATTTCTAATGATTTTGAAAAGGTGTCAATAATTCTGTCCAGTCCATTTATGGAGTTCTGTGTGGAATGTATCAGATTTGGCTTTTTTCTCTACTTTTTGTGTTGTTCCAGTGCAAATAAAAGAAATAAACATGAGAATACAAAGAATTTGTGATTGTAACAATTTTCTGGGAGAAGTGTTTTGTTATCTGAGAGAAATACAGGGTGCCCATGACTGTTTGTCTATGGTTGTGAGTGCTCCGTATCTGACCAAGCTAGCACTGTTAACTACACCATGTTCGGAGTCCGGTAGTCTGTCGGTGAGGATGCAGATGTTCCAGCTGCACATTATAGCTGTGGTTCTACTATTGGAACCTACCTGTTGGACCAGTATGCCACATTCTTCCCTTCACTGTCACCCAGCATAACGTCATGAGTTGACATAGACTGTTTTACTTTGCTTCACAGTATTTTTCACTGGGTCTGTCTCTTGGGCCTGTGTTCCACCACTAACTAAGATTGTATGAGCAATTTATCAAACCCAAACTTGCACTTGCACTTCACTGCTTCGCCCTCAGTCCACTCACTGAAGTCCCTGTTTTACCCCTAAACCAATGAGTGAATGTCTGTCATGTCTTGAGTCAGTCCCTGTTTTACCCCTAATGGGTTTTCCCTTTAATACTGTAAAGTCTAGACCTTACTATGCCCTTGATGTTGTGAATTGCTGCTATTGCCTACAAATAAAACTGAACTGAATTGAATTGAATACCTTTCAAACTAATAAAGACATCAGCATCATTCCCAATGCCAGCAGTAGGTTTTCATGGTCAAGCAGTCATATTATGAGGGTCAAACTATCGTAGGAATATTGCTTTTATGGCATGATGGGGAACCTGAGTTGCTCTTGGCGGAGGCTGCATTCTGAGTGCTGTCTAGTTACAGTACTTTATCATTTTTGATGGAGCTGCATGTTGATCAGCACTCTACCCCCTCCTTCAGTCTGTGTGTAAGCTAGGCCACAAACTTCACAATGCCATGCTCGTATCTTTTTTTTTTTACCAGGTTTTCCCTCTTTCTTTTAACCTGCAGTGATGACAGTATGGGCTACCAATACCCATTCACTTTGCGGGTAGTGGGTAAGGATGGCAACTCATGTGCCTGGTGTCCCTGGTACAGGTAAGCCAGTGTTTCACACACATGTTACAAAGTAGGGAGGAATGCATCTGCTGGTGAGGAGACATTTTAATAGAAGATTATGCTATTTGGTGTTCTGCAGCACATATTAAATGTAACATTGTTTTCATGTCACAATAAACAGAAAACCTATAAAAACCTAAGTCACTTCTTTTCTTTGCACAAAATTGATCAGAATAATCAGATTTTTTTTAACAAGATATGTTAATAATTTGCAGACTCCAAGATTGTTTGTTTGCCCGAGCCTGTGTATGTATTGTAGTTGTACCTGTGTCCATGTGTTTCCAGGTTCTGTAGAGGCTGTATAATAGAGTGCACAGAGGACAGGGCCTCTGTAGGAAATGCTTATATAGCTGTGGACTGGGACCCCACTGCCCTGCACCTCCGCTACCAGACCTCCCAGGAGAGGGTGAGAGACATACACACACTCCCCCTCTCTCTCTCTCTTTCCAAGACTGGGAGCGTCATGTAAACTCATCCTATACTAGATGCTCTTTCGTCTGCATTCACCATAATGATCTCTTACCTCATCATAAAGTACTGTTGCCATTCTCAAAACAAGATTTTAATTTGCACAGTTCCTTCTCTGTCATGCAATGACCATCTTCGAGCTGCCCTTAGAGAATGTACTGGAGACTAACACCATTTTGACTTTTATGGCCCCTGTCAGTTGATAATTACAGGCAAACAAAATAACCTCTTGGAAGATATTTCAGCCTAAAATTGGATGATCTTGTTAATATGCAAGAAATAAGAGTGTCACTGCAGATTGATTTGGCCACCCCACTGCACTGCATGCTGCTGACACCCAGGCTGTTTCCCAGAACCTTCTAGCACAAATAATCACAGTTTATCGTTTAATGACAGTGGGACACTTCGTCCGTGTATTAATGTGTAATACCTGAGAAAGGAAAATCTGCCCAGCAGCAACTTCTGCTGTTATGGGCTTGACCACACAAAGTCAACAGTGAGCTGGTTAATGCTCAGTTCACTTAGCTACAGAGTGAGATCCAATAAAGAATTCAGGATCCAGGGACCTCTAAACTATCATTGAAATGATGCTGTTGCTGTTGTTGTTGTTGTTGTACATACCGCAAGCATTGTGGGGAATATCACTGTGGGTATTTCCCTGTTGTTCTGTACCTGCATTACTTTTTCTTGCAGAAATGCTGTTTCAGTTGTGTTTTGCAAAACAGGCCAGTTAGCAGTCCAATACTGCTTTAGAACAGTGCTCACATACAACTGTCAGATAATGGCAAAGCCTGCTGATTCAGAAAACTACAGATGGTTAAATGCTATTAGGTGGTTTCATCTTAATCAAAAGTTGTACTTAATAAATCACTTGATTTTACCTAGCCACACCAAGTGGCGCCTTTCCCTGGTTTCTGTCCTCCATCTGTCTGCAGCTGCTTCTGGTTGCCTTTTACTGTGAAGAAGACAAAAAGCAGAATAGCAGTTCATGCATGATCTGTCTTCACCTCAGTCAGTATCATCCCCTCTGTGGTCTCCATGTAGATCGTAGAGGAGCACTGCAGTGTGGAGCAGTCCCGTCGGGCCCAGGCTGAGCCCATCAGCTTGGACAGCTGTCTGAAGGCCTTCACTGGTGAGGAGGAGCTTGGAGAGGACGAGCTCTACTACTGTTCCAAATGCAAGACCCACCGCCTGGCCACTAAGAAGCTGGACCTCTGGAGGCTGCCACCCATTCTGGTCAGTGGTGCTCATCTGTGTCAGACCTGAGCTCTGCTCTCACAGGGATTTTAGAGTAGACCTTTCCATGTGATTTACAGTAGTATGTACTGTTAGTTAAAGGACAGCACAGCACATGTGATTCGTGTCATCCTCTCCAGATTGTCCATCTGAAGCGCTTCCAGTTCGTCAACGGTCGCTGGATCAAATCCCAGAAGATTGTCAAGTTCCCACGGGAGAATTTTGACCCCAGCGCCTTCCTGGCTCCTCGAGACCTGCAGCCACACTGCCTTCACTCCCGTAGCCAGAGTGAGGATCTGCTAAGGGTTGGGGAAGACAACCTGTCCTCAATTTCTGCCCCTGCTGGCTTCTGCAACCTCCCCAAAGGTACAGCATGTTGAGTCTTGTCTTTTCCATTATGTGTTTGATGATTCCTTAAGAGATTGAATGAAAACAGACTGAAGTGTAAAAGAGCAGAGCAGTTTATCTCCCAGATGCAGAGGAATTGTCTTTGATCCTGTGGTTTCCCAACAGCCTCCCCTGCCTCCAGCAGGAAGTCGGCGCCTTCTCTCAGCCGGACCAGCAGCCCCTCCAGCAGTCCAAAGACCGGCAGCGGAGGCCGCAGAGCAGGCCGGCTACGCCTGCCCCAGCTGGGCAGCAGACACCGCCTCTCTAACAGCAAGGAGAACCTGGATGGAGCTGCTAATCCTGAGGCTGATCTTCGGGACAGTGTACCACAGGCAGACACAGAGGAGAGTGCAGCAGCAAGGGCAGCAGGCCTTTCTGTGTCAGGAGAAGTGATAGCTTCAGAATTGTTGTGGGGCACTGAGGCATCCAGCAGCCAGTGCGATGTGGTGCTGGTGAACGGTGACAGCAATGGGCTGAGCTCAGACTGCAGCACTGAGAGCAGCATGGACCCGGACAGCTCACTGCTACAGCACAGAGACAACATGTGCCTGGATGCCGTTTACAACCTCTATGCAATATCAGTATGTAGTTTTACTAATCTCTCTCAAAAGGCTTTCTGCTTTGAAACTGCTCTCAAATATGTTTCTGATTTATCATCTTAGTGTCATTCAGGAATCATGGGAGGAGGCCATTATGTGACATATGCCAAAAATCCCAATGAGAAGTGGTATTGTTACAATGACAGCAGCTGCAAGGTAAGACAGATTCCCTGGTAATACTGTATGTTCATATGTAACTGCATACCTGTCATTAGTATATTCTGTTTTTCTATGGATAGCTGGCTGAAGAAACAGTGTCATACTCATGCATACACAGTGCCTGTGAACAGAATCCCACTGGAACTTTTATTTTTGTAATCACATTGAATCAGAGCAGTTGTCTGTTGGTTAACCTCACCCTCCCACAGTGACTGTCAAAAATCATAGTTTAGCAGCAGCAACTTAAAGTAGCTAGCCTGCTGAGATGTTTCCAGTTGTCTTTTTTTACAATCTTACACATGGCTTATAACATATACCCTGAAATAAAAGGAGCAGAATTGTAAGTGGATTTAACTGTGTGTTTGTCTGCTATAAAGTGAGTAGCCACAGTTTCAAAAAGTCCCAGTCAGGACTGACACAGCTGCTGTGGTGGAGCTGTGCTGACCCAGATGCTAGTCTGGGTTAGTCTACCTGAATAATTTTACAAGAATAATTCTACTCGGTTTGTGTAGCGTTGTTTCCATCTAGTGGCAGCACCAGAAAGAGCACTTCTGCAGTTAGTATTGTGTGCCACACATCTTTTATCTACTTTCAGTGATGGCTCACTTAATGTAGCAGCACATGACACGTTCAAAAATAAGTTCAAGCCAAACAGCACTGGGTATTTTTGTTTAATTTTCAGGAAGTGCACTCAGAGGAGATTGACACTGATTCGGCCTACATCCTTTTCTACGAGCAGCAGGGAGTTGACTACTCTCAGTTCCTGCCAAAGATTGATGGCAAGAAGATGGCTGACACCAGTAGCATGGATGAAGACTTTGAATCTGACTACAAGAAATATTGTGTCCTCCAGTGACTGCACCTCGTCTTCCATCAGCCAGCACTACACCCATTCACTGCTGCCTCCCTCTGCTGTGAGCAGGAAGCACCAGACGTTCAGATCATTCTGTAGAATTCTCACAAACTGCAAATGACTAGAATTAGATTCTATGTCTTTAAGGATGCGTTGCAGCACTTTCTACACTTGACTGCGAACATGGATTAGTGCAAAGGTTTGCCAAGGCAACAATGAATCCCCAGTGAAAGCACTAAACTGGTGCACTTTGCTGAGCCCTACAAAACAATGCCCTCCTCCCCTTTTCATGTGAACAACTCACTACATGCCATACATGTAACATATGTTTGCATATTAACATATCTCGGAATGTATGAAATTAAGGCCAGGTCATGAAGTGATGTTTTGTTATTGTGCATTTATCACCTATGATGTCAGAATAAAAAAAAAAAGCATTTACACCAGGATTTAACAGGAAAGTCATGTGACCACATGATGCGTTCCAGGTGTAAAGCATGGCCAATGATTGGATACAGAATGACTTAAAATGCCAAGTGTCAATGGGGCCCAAGAATGTTGGTGTCATGTTTGATGCCACAGGTCATACTGTTGACATTTGGTACCCAGTGTTCTGGATTCTGTGATGAGCTTTTAAATGGTTCTCCAAAGGTTTTATTAGTGATAGTTTCACTAAGGAAAATATAAATCATTCGCTACCTCATTGCTTCCCACCACTTCCTGCAGTCTGTCAACCAACTCTAACCTACAAGTCTGTGACAGTATTAATAATGATTACAAAATGCTTCCTTCCTTTGTAGGAATCTAGGTACTCACATTTCAAGGCCCCCCAAAAAATCTCTCCCCCCTTCTTCGGACACTCACACAGGGTCTGATGTTCACATGGAATTAGACATTATTGTCAAAACTTTTTCATCCTGCACCTACAAAACATCTGTGGTGATTTGTGCAGCATTCAACTGTGTGTGCCCATAACGTCCCTCAAAATCAAAAGGCTTGAGTATGAATCTGGCTTTGTTTGGGACAGGTGCCATGGTTTCACAAGAGAGCTGCTTAAAGATATAT